TCTGCGACGTTGTCGTCTTGAGGCTGGTGAAGGATCAACTTTCTTTCTTGGCGGCATCTTGCTCGTTGGCGTCAATGAAGGAAATGTCGTGACGCCTGTCCTTAAGTCTGAGAGTGAGTCGCGGAACTGGAGGCTGCGACAGTCTGAATGGCTCCCTAGGCTGGTCTGGTGCGGGAAGGTAATGACGGTCCAGTCCGCAGATGCCTTCCGTGAGGAGTCTGAACCACGGGCCAGGTCCTGAAGCAATGAGATTATGCAACCGGACATGGTAAAAGTCACTCTTGATGAGATGTTTGAAGAAGCCTCTGAAGAAGAAGGCGATGGGGCAAGAGAATTCGGACTGCGTTCCAATCAACGGGAGGTTCTTAGTGAGGGTTAACATGCCGCTGTTTACCGAGCACTTAAACGAATCTTTCGTAGAATTGGCAATGCAGATGCAAAAACAATAGAAGAGAATCTTGAGATCGTGCGCAGACTGACGTTTATAAGTAGCAAGTTGTTGAGTTGCGCGATTCTGCTCCTCTTCAATGAGAAAATTGAAGTAGCAGTTACCAACGAAGAGGAGTCAGGAGATGGTGAGGGAGTAAAAGGAGTGGGAAAAGAGCTCAAGAGCCTGATCGAGGAGAAGGAAGAAGAAAAAATGCGCTCTATTCTGAAAAGTACAAAAATAATTGCATTCCACGTACTCGAGCAGGTGACTGAGGGCGGGGTACGAATTGAAACGCTTTCCCACGAAGTAAGATTGAAGATTGACGAAGGAAGGTACAATGGAAGGGAGGTTAAAGAGATGGAGGGGAAGAAGGGAGGCTGAGGGTGGATCGAGGACGAAGATTCTCCTGATGGGTTCTTCTGCGGTGACGGGTGGGGGGGAGATGATACCAGAAAGGGGAGTGATAAGAGAGGTGAAGGTAGTAAGTACTAGTAACCAGTGTTTCATCAGGTATGGAGATTTCAGAGTGAATGGTGATGTTGGAGGAAAAGTAGTCAAGAAGGAATAAATCGTAAATAAGGGGCTCCCGGGAAGGTGACGGTTGGGGACGGGACCTTTTAGGACTTAGCGAAGTGGAGATAGGGGCAAGTGGGGAAGTGAGAGGGGTAACCAGGTTTGTGGGACGATGGTCAGTGTGACAAGCCGAGGTGAACATGGTGGGAAGGGAACAGGGACTTTGGGGGACGGTACTCTCATTGTGGGAACAAAAGAATTGACAGACCCAGAAAAGCTGACCACTGGATGACTGGACCTGACAGCGACCGACCACCGACGGATGACGGGACTTGATAGCGGTTGACCAATGAGCGAGAAAAGTTGACTGCAATAGGACCCGTAGACTGGTGGAACAGTCCTCAACCAAAAAATGCGAGGAGAACGACTCACACTCCGTAGGACCTGACCCTTGTGATCCTGCACAAATTTGCGTATGCGATGAGTGCTGCGAGCGGCCACGGACTGGAGGGTGCTGCTCGAGAAGTTTCACAAGCTATGGTGATAGGCCAGGTCCCTATGACTTATACTGTTTCTGGCCAAGGTAGTGGTACCGCTCGGGTTGACGAGGCCGTTCTTTAGCCTGGGTGAGTGTCACATCGCCTGATGAACTCCGTAGATCTTAGTCGATGCTCTCTCTGCCATCGATTTTAGGGAGTTGTCCTGATGGTTGAAGCTGATGTCCTGCGAAACCATAAATATTATTATTGAATGGATGCGATTGCGGCTTCGGTTCGTATACTCGGAACTGCTGACGACCGAAATACCAACCCGGAAAATCGTATGACCAAGACTGAATTTGTTGGAACCAGTTGTTGGAACCCCTTTGCATTTGCGGTTGTACTGGTTTTGGCACAATACTCACACAGTCTGGTGTCGACCTCATCGGTCCCACAGGGGGACCCTCCCGGCCGTGTCACGCAGGATTTTGCAGGACTTCTTCGCAGTGGAACTTTCGCCGCTCTGACTGAGTGCGCTGGCCGTACCTCTCACGAACCCCTATGACAGGATAGAGGTCGCATGAGGAACAACTTACCTCCACCCAAAGGGTTGTCACCACCCTTGAACATACGTATCCCCAGCGAGCTACCGCACCACATGTGAAAGTTGCTTGAGTGCAATCGCAAAGGTGGCCCAACCGAGGACGTTTCTCATTTGTTGTAGCATAGGGGGTACGCGGGGGGGAATGCCTTAATTGGATCCGTACCCGAACCGACGCTCTGCAGGTTGATCTCCCAAGCGCGGCTCTGCACCGGTCAACTAGAACGATCATTTAACCATGCGATACACTTCACCAAAATAAAACCAAACTCCATACTTAAATCATGCTTTGTCCTTTTTTCACATCTGACCCAAAACGTTTTGACTACAGAAAATAGACGAGTATCACATGTGAGACTCTGAATAAATACTGTGGCGACGTAGGCCTTGTCGTATTGATCAGTCATGTATGAATACGCAGGTGAACGCGAGGATGACGTACTATATAGTACCCATAATGATATGACTCTCGATGATTTTCAGGGTCACTTTCGACATTCAAGTGTCGGCTGACACGCATCTTGAGTGGACGCTAGACAATCGCAACTGCGATTGCGAGACATACCCTCTTCTGCACACTTTGGAGAGGGGTGGCAGGGAGACTTCAACTCTATGTGGCAGCCAAACACGTCTGACCCTGGGAATGAGGCTCCATCATCGGAGGCCTGAAAACATGTCAAGGACCTTAATGTCCAACTATAAAATTATAAAAAACAAAGGTAAAAAGGGATCTCATTTTTTTCTCAATACAAATATGCTCAATCTTTACGCACGGTTACAGTAGACTGCACACATACATAAAATATAAATACAACGTGGTTATATGACACGAGGCGATCACTCTCGCAATCATAGTCTGACTCCCTTTATAATATACACATAATCGCATGCAAAGTCAACTCCGAACTTCAACTCACAAAACATATTTGCAATCATACCAAAGATTCGACATCGGCAAACTAGGCACTACATGGGTTCAACTTCAACCACTCTCTGCACTCATACGCCTTGCCTTATTCACACAAACCCTTACCTTTACCCAACCTTCCAAATGAAAACAGTTAGTCTTTTTTAAATGGTCATTTAACAAAAGTCTGGGTAAAAACCCAAAGAAAAAATTCAACCCAAAGGCCTTAGGTTGAGTTGTGAGGATGAGTTTGAAGTTAAATAGTAAACCCACCTGTTATAAAAAGATAAGAGAAAATGATCCTCGTACGATTGGGATGGAACTAGTTAGATCTTGAATCAAAATAACCAAAGAGGACATGTAACACGACACACGCTAATTCCCAAGTTACGTTTAAGTGAATGGAGAATAAACCCCCCATATCACATCTTTCTAAAGTTTTCCCCTCTAAAATATAATCTAACTCCTTGAAACTAGAAAACTTTTGGCAGCACTCTCTCTAGAGAAAGTGTCTTTTCAAAATTTGTACTCAACTATATTTGAAATCAAAGAACGTCTTTTAACTTTATGAAGTCAAATTTTGTTCAACTCTCTGATTTAGGAAAAAATTGGGTAGCAATTCCTTTAAAACAGTAGGCTTCCAAAATTTCTACTCAGCTAGATATGAACTCGAAGACAAAACTTGAGCTGTGCTAAGACAAAATTCAACTAACTCTTTAGATTTGTAAAAAATTCGGCAACACTCCCTCTAGCGAAAGTGTCTTTCTAAATTTTGTACAAAGCTAAATATAACTTCTGAAAATAATCATGATTTCACAAAGTCAAATTTTGTCTAACTCGTTGATTTAGCAAAAAAATGGGCATCACTTCCCCTATAAAAGTAGGTTTCTCAAATTTCTACTAAGTCGGATATGAAACTCAGATAAACGTTGAACTTTGTAAAGACAAAAATTTGACTAACTCCTTGGATTTGTAAAAATTTGGGCATCACTGCCCTTAGCGAAAATGTCTTTCCAAAATTTATACAAAGTTAAACAGCAGAAATCAAACTGAACTTTGAAAACAAAAAATCGAACTAACTCATATCGCACCAGCACATGACGAGCATACTAGACTTATAATCATGCAAACATATGCAACCAAGGTAAGTCTCTCACCAGAATCTAAGTTATTTTTCACATACAAGTAGTTGGTTGAACCTTCAAATGATTGACCCTTTACCCCATCTTACGTAGGGCATTGAGTTGGGTCATTCATCTTAGAAATAATGTCAAACTCTCAGCCCTTCCCCCCACCCCCCAATGCTATTGTCCCTTTCTCTTGGTATTGCCAGGATACCCTGGATGCTCCACAATCGGAGTGAGGAACACGGGCTAGCAATTACAATAGCCATAATTCTTTCAGGGATTATCCCAAGGATGGGATCAGGTTCCATAGAAAGTTAGAACTGAAAGATCACATCTGCCGCCCTGCTTGGGGTGAAGAGCCTCAAACCTGGTATCTCTTATTATTTCTGCATTTTGTCAAAGGGACGCTGGACCCGTTTTCCAGCAGGTGCAGCTCCTCATCAGTAGATGAAGTGACACACATAGATCATGATAGGGAGGGATGCTCACATCACCCTGCCTAGCATGGTCTACTGAGTCTTAGAAAGAAAAGAAGAAGAAGAAAGAAGAAGAAGAAGAAGAAGAAGAAGAAGATTAATTTGCATAGACCCTGAGCAAGGACGACAAGCAAGTAAGAAATGTCCAAAAGAATGGTCCAGTTTGTTCTTCTCTTTTCAATTTTTATAATGCAGTTTCTGACATTCATATGGGTCATGGATTGGCAGGAGATATCCCCACTCAGCTGACGATGATTGAGGTGAACTTCATCGTCCTCGAAGAGCGAGCTGTACAACAATAGTGGTCCAAACTTCACTTCACATGTCGTCACGAGAGAGAAATCCAGCCCGCCACACCAGATCAGTCCAATATACGAGCATACAAGCAGAGATGTGAAAATACCTTGAAGTCTCTCTGAAAAGACCCGGAAGTTGAAAGTTGAAAGTGTATCCCTGAAGGGGCACGCGGCACTGCGGCGGCAGACAACAACAATAATGGCCCTAACTTCTCACTATGTCCAGAAGGAGCTGGATGACCAATTGGCTCACCTGAGGAGATGCAGCCATGGAACGGCGGGAAAGGGAGCGACTGTCGCCTCCCAGGGGCAAGAGTCTACCCTCCTGCATGGACCTGGTCCATACTCTGGACCGGGTCCAGACGGAGGACCCGGCCATGGAGACGCAGCTGGACCGGCCGCCACCGACCAGTTGTGGGATGACGATTTACGAGACGCGGAGAGAGAGCTACGCGAACAGCAGCAGTCAACGAAGGACGCGAAACGGTCATCCATTGTGAGCGAGCTGACATGGAATGGGATCGCGGTTTCTGGATTCCGAGACAGTGAAATGCGGAAGCGTGCACACCAAGTGGCATATCTGAGGAATGCTGTCACTAAGCACAGGCTGGAGCTCAAGGAGCAGGACAGGATCATAGACGACCTCAAGAGCAAGGCAAGAGTTTGCCTTTTTTGTTGTTGTTGTTTTCGAAGACCATATGCTGTTTTTCTATTTTGTAAAAAAAAAAGTAAAAAAACGTATTTAAAAAAATGAAAAAAAAGGCAAGACTTTGAAAATATGCTAAGGTGGCACTCCCTTTACATCTGGGGCGAAGTCCCACTAGCAGAGTGGATCCTATTAAGAACCTGAATCTGGAAGGAATCTACTCAGAGATGCAGAAAAGAAGATCAATCACGGTTTTCTGCATCTATCCTCAAGCGAGTCCAGATTCAAGCGTTTAATCCGATCCTCTGTGCTAGCGGGACCTGGCTCCTGGTTTAAATTGAAGGAACTTGGAGCAGGCTCAGCTTTCCCAGAATAGATTCTGAGAATCTGGACCCGCGTGCAAGTTCTCAGAATAGCATTTCTGGACAGGTTTTGTGGGGCACCACAAGGCTATACCCTTGTTTGAGGGGTGGGGAATTGCATCTGTACCCGTCCCAGCGCCAACTTGCATCTATACCCAGAAAACATCTGGTGGGAATTATTTGCATGCCCAGGACTGAGGTGGACCCAGGTTGGTGCCGCAAAATTGCTTTTATAACCAACTACCTGAATGCACAAAAAATAAAGGACATACCCATGCAAAATTATGGGCATACCTGGGACTTTTTTTCCTCTTTTTTTGTTGAAAAAGGGCCCTTGTGCAAGGCCTCTGTACCAGGGACTGAGGTGGACCGGCCAAATTATTCATATACCCTACTACCGGATGGCTGAAATTAGGGCATGAGCACAATTTTCGTGGTCAGCCACTGTGGCATACTGCGCAGCCACACGGGCCTGCAGGGCCCGACCAGACGGAAAATAAGGGCCCTCCAGGCCCTGTGTCGTTTCAGCCTAAAAGCCTGAAAGGGAGGGCCATTTTCAGGCCCTCATAAAGTCGACCTGCCCTGAAACTTAGGCGCCAGACCAGGGTTTAGCGCAGAGAGAGGTGGCGGAGGCCAGGGAGGCTTACCTGTGGCGCCATAGCTCCAGCTTCGTCTTCGATGTACCTGCAACAAGGTGCCACCTTCACAGGTTAGTACCGGGCTGAGAGAGAGACAGAGAGAGAGAGACAGACAGAGAGAGAGAGAGAGAGAGAGAGAGAGAGAGAGAGAGAGAGAGAGA